AAATCTTGTACTGGGGTGGATAACGAGAGTAGCTCTTTAGAGGTTGAGAGAAAAGTGAGAGAAACACTAGGGGTATTGCGGACTTTGATTCGTTGACTGTGTATTCCTGCCGTGGGTAAGTGGCTTATGGTTTTTTTCATGTAAAACTCGGTGTCTCTCTGCTTTTTGATTACTGCTTCCTGTAGTTTGATTTCTACGTGATTTTTTTTTTTTTTGACAAGGGTAATGGTTAGTAGTTAAGTTAGGAAATGTTAGTAACTAAAGATTCGATTCTCAGAACAAGTAATCTCCCACCCCCTCGTTCAGGCGCGCAGCCTATCGGGCGCATGGTAGAGTTCTTCTACATGATTAGATTGATGAGCACACATAAGTGGGGACTTGATTGTTTGGTTCGTTACTTGTTGATTGCATTTCACTTAAATTCGCTCTGATTCACTTGTGAAGAACAATTGGAAGCTCAAAATGTGTCTTCAAGCAGACGCTTTAATATGTTTCATTCCTGGAAGTGTGTCTAGGTTTCGCATTAATAATGGAGTTGAAAGGGGGAAAAAAAAAAAAGGTGCAAATAAAAATTTTAATTTTAAATTTTTTTTATTGAAAGATATTAATTTTATGTTTTTAAATAAAAATATTAATTTTTTATTTTTTATTTAAAAATTAATTAAATAATGATACTAACCTAATAGGTAAATTTTTTTAAAAAATTAATATTATTAAGTAAAAAAATTACAAATTAATTTTTTTATTTAAAAACTAATAAACTTAACTTTTTAAATGACAAAATATAAAATTAACATGATTATTTACACATTTTCTCTAGTTAAAAGTTTTATATGATACTTTATTATGAGGTGCCATGCGAACACTTAACATGGTTTTGCTATTTAATTAACAGAAAAGTAACACATGGACCATATGATGAGTTACTAAACCATTCATTTTGTTCGGGAGAAAATAGAAACTTCTCGAAAGTGATAATAAGAAATCAATAGCTAACAGACAAATTGTTAAAAGGCAATATGCAGACAAAGACTGAAGGGATAAACGCTCTGCATTCAAAATGTACCCCGATAAGCAGGGCTGGCCAAAAAGATCCAACCTACAATTTACAAAAGTTGTATACACTAACACAGGTATACTCCCAAACAGCTGCTGCATTAGAAAACTGTCTTATATATGGCCTGAATCTTTCAAATGCATGATTGTCATGTAAAACAATTTTACTAGCACCTATTTTTTGGTCATATTGGTGCTAAATGGATGCTAATCCTGAAGTTTATAGCGACAAACCAAATCAAATAAGCAGATGAAACTACAGAAAGAATGATCACCATGGATGCTGTGCCTGCCATGGAAGATTTCTGCTGGACAGATCAGTCTTGTCATCAAGATGGACACCTGTTTGGTCGTCAGGTCTTTACATTTGGGGAAATACCTATCTGCATGTGACTTTCACCAGCGTAGTTTGTACTGAATTAGTAGGACTGTGCTTCTAGAAGGATGTTTGTGGCAGCATTGATGTCATTTCTGGCACGCACAAGTGCCTGCCTGGCTGAGTTCCTATCAAAACCCATAGACACCAGTGTAGCAATGGAATCCTCCGGTGGCTCTACTGCTGAAGACATGGAAGAAGGATAGGTTCTCTGAAACAAGAAGAATTAAGTTATTTATGACAAACAAATGATTCTCCCAGAATGAAAATTATATCATAGCTCCAATAAGATGCGGAGTACATGTAAGCAATCCTTTTCAAACAGAGGAAACAAAACCTTTCTCCCCAGTATTTTGTTTGCATTTAATGTTAAGATGTGTTAAGATACTTAGGAATCAATTACTTTAAATGGTTGATTGATTTAATTATGATAACATATCCTAGATTTACAATTAAGTTACTATAGTAGATTGTTTCTGGGATTTCTTATTTAATGTGTCTTGAAAAGACTAACTCTCCCATGTAATGATGTGTAATAATATTTCAATATAACTTTTTTTCTATTTAAATAGGAACAATTGAAAGAATGACCAATAATATAGTTACAATGTCACATAGGATTGTAAGCTTACAAACATGATGTATCATTAAATGAAATATTATTCACTCCCTCTGTCCCACAACAACTATCCTTATTTGACTTTTTCTCCAAGTTAAGGATTTGGGGACAATAATTGTATTTATCTATAATACCCTTAAAAAAGAAATAGAAGATAAAGAGAGACTTTTTGTCATTGGATAATTAATTAAATTGGATGGATAATGATAGGGTTAAAGTAGGAAAAAAAAATATTTGTCTACCTTGAAAAATGAAAAAATGACAATTAAGTTTAAACAAATTCAAAGTCAAAAAAACTACAGTTATTTTGGAACAGAGGGAGTGTCCAATTGCTTAATTTTAAGCCTAAAATAATCTCCAATTGTTTCTTCCAAAAGCTGCATCAGCAAACCTGTTTCATTCTATAGCTGATTTCATTGTGATCCAGCTTCTTATATGAAAGAAGTTTTTCTTATTTAATACCTAGATATTCAAAATTACATAGCAAGCCTAAATTAATCAACCATTGTTTCTTCCCTGATGGCTGCATCAGCTATGGTGTTTCAATGCTGATTTCATTGATATTCAGCTTCATATATGGCAGAAGCTAATTTTATTTAAGTACTTCTATTTTAACTCTAGTAAAAAGCGACTCAAGAGTGTTCCTTAAGAATCCTTGTTAGGCAACACAGTAACAACATTTTCAGAATAGAGGTATGAAGCAAACTCATGGAATTGGCTTAGGCAAGGGAGGCAAGATGTGTGAACACAAAAGGCAAACATCATATTAGATGCACATTAAGAAAACCTTTTACATGCTTTATTAACAAAAAATACCAGCACCTATTCCAGCAATATCATCCGTGAGCTTTATTAACAATTACAATTGGAATCTAAATCCAACCATAATGAAAATAAAATTGTTATGCATGCTCTTATGTTTGCAGTGAGTTACCATGGTTTCAATTCAAATCAACTATATAATTTTAAGCAATAGGGAAAAATATAATCATTTAGCAAAAATACTTGCCTCCACCTGGCGAGTTGCGTAAGATGGTGCAGTTCCAGCATTCCTAGTTCGTGCCATTGAAGTATTCACTGAAGGCCATGTAAGCCGTGAAAAGAATGATGCAACGCGCTCAGGGAACTGAAATTCAAAATAATAATAATGAATTACTTTTGAATCATGACAAACATAAATAAATAGTAATAATAACCCTACAACAGTTTGAAGAGAAATTACAAATAAATATTTAAAGAAGAAAGATAAATAAAGAGGAAAAAAAACGTAACATTTGTGAAAAAAGCACATAGGGATCACTTGAGCCTGGGACAAAACCGCATTGCCTTAGAACACCTCATGCTAGATGATAATAATAATAATGCAACCACAACAACGACAATAACAATAAGAATAATAATAACATTATGGGTCTGTGATTTGATTAATCAGTGTATCTCTTATGCAGGACTGCCTTTTGACAGGCTTAGCACTTCAAGAGCAGCAAAGATTATTGTGGCCAAAAGCATATTGAAATCTAACTAGGATAGGAATTCTTTGAGTATGCACATGCTTCTGTCTCCACTGACAGCATTATCTATAGTGATTCACTAAAATACCACATAGAAAGCTCATCAATGAGGAAGGCAGTTATCTTTATAGTACCTAAAATTTGTTGATGAATAGCAGCAGAGAGGACAGATAAAAAGGGCAATATGTTTGAGAAATGTTTAAGAATCAGTGTAGAAAAAAACCTTTGCCTTGCGGATGTGGAAGACGTTTAGACGATACAAAGAACCAGCAAGGATTCCACATATCCCTGGCAAGATAGACCTTTTCCAAGATGATAGAAGAAGCTGCAAGACAAGGACTGAACTTATATCTTTTCCATAGGCGGTCAGAGGTAAGTCATAAATACAAAAATCTCATTCTTTACCTGAAGACCAGCTAGATATATGAAAGACTTGTCAGAGAACTGGATGCCAAATACTCGGAACCTAGTTGAAACTGGAATGTCAAGGTAAAACGGGATGAAGGAAGCAAATATAAGCCCATATGGTCCAGATTTGAGCAGATTAACTGTGGGATCTGCAAATATGTAGACAATAACTTATATTCCTCCACCATAATTAAGGCAGTGCAATGAAATTACAAATTTGACCTTTCAAAAAATTAACAAGAAAAGGTGTAGATTCAGATCTTTGAAAATCATCTTATCAAAGTAGGGTATAAAAGCCTGATCATGTGTGATCTACCTAGAGTTGAATATATTGAAAAATCACATGCAATGAAACCACAAGTCAAAAATAAAAGGGAAATCATTGGGCTATTTCATCTCTCCCTAATGGCAGATTGTCCATCCCATAGCTAGCATCAAACCCTCCAATTTAACTGTTCACACAAGCCATTAGAGATCTCAAATGGTTGCTCTTTACTCTTTTAATCGAATAAAACTAGAGCTCAGACTAGTCAATATTACTCAGTACTTAATGGTGAGCCACCATCCCCATGAAAACCCCCCAAAACAGCAATAATATTAAAAAATCATAAAATTTAAAGTGGCCATAGAGATTTATTAAACATTGGAGTTCATTATTAGGAGAGAAAAATACAGAACCATTCAGTGCATACCTTTAAGCACAGCTAGAGCCAAAACTTCAAAGAGGAATGAAACTATTACTGAGAACAAGATAAAAACCTGCATAATTAGGGAAGAAACATTTTTCCTGGTAAGGAAAGAAATAGAGTAGCTTCTGAACAAGTAGTAGATGCTACAAAAGATTTACAGAGAAGGGTCAAAATTATTTTTCCAATTAAAATTGGATACTGTTCCAAACTATTTGCTATGTGAATTTAATAACTGTTCTTTAATGTGCAGTTGATTACAGATTATCCCACATCAAGTTAACATCCGGTATGTATTCTTCTTAAATCAAGTTTCCTAAGAGGTTTTGACAATTACAGGGAACACTGAGTCATTTTGCAGAGAATTTACATAACATTGTGAGATCAGCAGGAGTGATCTCTTAAGGACTCTTCAAAAACCTTCTCTAAACACAATTTGGGACAAAAAATTGTTACTTATATACAAATGAAAGAAACCAAATAAACTACACCTTCATATGGTTTACCTTTTTTCTCATTTAAAAATTTTAAGTTGTTGATTGCTTGACTTCAATGTTGGAGATTGGTGAAAACTCACTTTCCCGGTCTCCAACCATGTTTCATCAACATTCAGTACTTCCACAACCTAACTTAATCCATATCTTTGTGTCCCTCCCTTTATATCAAATTTGTTAACAGTGTATTCAATTGGATCATGCTAATGCTATCATTCACTAAGAATTATAATGAAAATGTCCAGCAAATTATCATTACTTCAGCCATATAATAAAATAATCAATACAATGGTCGAAGAGAAGAGAGTAAGCCCCATAATTACTCACCGAGTACTTATTGGAACCAATTTGTCTCTCGAAGACCCTGAAGTAGTATAGTAGATAAAGTCCAAACATCAATTCTGGAGTAGAGGAAAAGGCAAAAACTGATCCAATTAACTTCCAGATATGAAGCGCTCCAAAAATATCCTGCAAGGAAGATAAAAATAATGTATGTATTATTAAGGATATGCATCTATAGTCAAGAAAAAGTGCAAAGATATTTATTTTGGGGTTGCTGAGGACAATATATATTGAAGTCAATGAAAATAGTGTGGAGATCAGCTAGTACAACGTCCACATCTATTATGGAAAGCAAAGACAACTTCAAGTGACCAGAGAGATTGCACAATGCAATGACATTGATGGAGGTAAAGCATATCTAAGTTAACAGGGAAAAAAGTGGGGGTTCAAAGTGCAATCATATTACATGGTATAAATTCAAAACATCCTCAGAGATAACAAAAAAAGGCAAAACATGCAGAAGATGAGAACTCAGAAGAAAATGCATTAAATACTATTCAAGCTCACCCTAAGATAAACCTACAAGATAATACGAGCAATGAACTGTGCTTAATTCAGCTAAGCTCCATGTACAAATAAACTAGCTATCAAGACAATTTAACTTCATCAATTATATGGAACTAAAAGATAACTTGCAGTGCAAGAGAAAGTCATACTATTCTCTAATTGACCCATGAGTATCCAAAATAAATGGCCTATCCACTTAAACAAGATATTAAACCAAAAACTAAAAGGATTGTAATTAAGCCCCAAAACCTCCAACAACTACCTCAACCCACCCCACATAAAAAACATGAGATGTAATTCAAACTCAACTCAAACGTAAGACTAAGCCAAAAAAAAACCTGAAACATGAGAATTCCTCCAAAAGAAGAGGAAGAAGGAAAGCTGTCAAGACAGATTACAAACACTACAGAATCAAATTAAATGATGGGCATCAAAGTAATCCAGGCAACAAGAAGATGCATCAGGTTCCATTTTCATGCTTCCACAACTAAAGTGACAACTCAATTTACAGCCAAAAGGCAGCAGTTGACCAGCTATAATGATGTCCTTCAAAACCCTTGTAAGATAATAATAATAATAATAACAATAATAATAATAACCCCACAATCCAGAAATTAAGATAAACTGAAGTTAAACTTAATAGTTAAGAACCCAAAAGCTGATTCACCTAAAGATCACAACAGGGTTTTATCAACAAACAAGTCACAAGTGAAAATCTAACATCATTTGCTCCCAATTCAGATTTAAGAGTCATTACCAAGAAAAATAACAGAAAACCGACTTCCGATTACACCTAAAAGCAACAAACTTTGCAGTTTGAACACGATAAGACACCAAAACAAGGATTGGAAAACGGAAAGATACAAACCTGATAGGACAAACCCAGATTGTTAGAACGGCCTCGGATCCCAAAGACGATGGTGAAAATAGCAGAAGCAATAACAAAAATCTTTGTGACCGGAGCATTGTCTGCAACACCAAACTTAAAAGACAACCCATCAAAATTTACCCCACAAAAAAAAAAAAAAAGTATCAGGAAATATGAAAAAATGGGTTCAAAAAATTGCACGTACGGAAACCGGAGGGACCGCCGTTCATCTTCTCGGTGAAAGGAGGAGACACCGATAACCTTGTTCCGTTTAGTTTCTGCACTTCGTCTGTTGGTTTGGGAAATCGGGAGCTGTAACCACTAACCAGCGTTCTGTATCAGTTTTTCCCCTTTTCCAGCTTTCCTACTGTTTTATTTTGACTTTGATTCTTCTTGTTCTTCCTCAACTCTGCAGCATGTTTTTTCAATTTTCTATATATATTTTTTAATTTCAGAATTAAATAATACTAATAATAATAATAATAGTAAATGCTAGCAAACATTCTAGCGGCTCCGATGGTTAAGAATAAAATAATGACTGTTTTTTGGTCAACTATAATTTCTGAATTTTAGTTGAAAGCATACAGCTTCAATAGGACAACACTTTTTGTTATTTTATTTTTATATTTTTATATTTTTTATTATTTTAAAAAATATAAATTATTAATTAAAATAAATATTTAATATATTAAATATATTGTTAGAATGATAACGAATTTAAAAAATCTACAACTGAAATTATAAAACCGTATTATCACACTAAACTTTGGAATTAATAACTTGTATTTCAATCCTATACTGAATTAAAAGTGTATTTTGAATATTAAAAATATTAAAATATTTGTAATTAGTTAACATGTTAAAAAAATTCATTAAAGATTAATGAATTTGTAGTCCATACTGCAGTTTGATCGTGCAATTTAATTGAAAAATATATTTTTATTTAGAGTTTTTAAATTAACAAGTTTTTTTTTTTTAACAAGTTTGCAAGGAGTCGGATTTAAACCGTTGTCTTGAAAAAGATAATGCAGTTATATGTGACCTTATATCACTGGCCAAAGACCCAAGTGCAATTAAGAAGTTTTGATTCATAAAAATATTTATAATTTCTCTTAAAACATAAATTAAGAAATATATATTCTCTACCTCTCTTGATATGTATTTTTATTCTCCTAATTTAATATAAATTATAATTACACCAACAATTCGTTGTTAGTTTGAGTAGAATAAATTATATTTAATTCAAGTAAGATTTTAAATTTAAGTTTTGAGAATGGAAAATAAGATAGTTGAAAGAATTTTTTTTTTATAAGATTCGATGCGATTTAATTTTAAATTAATCAAAATTTAATATAACTTTTAAATAATAAAGAGTTAATATAAAAAATTATAATTACATTATATATAAGAATATATATTTATAGCTTTTTAAAAAACTTCTCAATTTTTAATGTCATACTTTCATCAAGAATTATTATTTCCAACTAAATATAACCTTGGAGTGTTAATTTTATACTATTCTACCCCATGAAAAAGTTAAAAGAGAAATGGCAATAAAACATATTAATTAAAAGGTAGTGTAAATTTCTTTTTCAATCCTACAAGTAGTTTTTCTTCAATCAAATTAAAAATGTGAAAATAGTCTAATAAGTGTAAACTGAAATAAAATAGCACCTAACTACTAAAAGGTAAATCCAGGAAACATAACTTGTAACATTTCCAAATCTTGAAATTGGATGGATTTAGACCGAGCTAAACTCTGGCAAATTGAATGAAAACAAGGATTAAATAGATATGGTAGGTTGGTAATGGACAGCGATTTGAGATTGCATTAAACTCCAAGGATTAGTAGAGAACACACCATTAGCTTAACCGAAATTGTATTTACCCAAAAAAAGCTTAACTAAAATATTGGAATTATTGGCAAAAAAATCTATTCCCCACCAACCTTATTCTCCCTCCCAAGTCCCAACCCCCACTTCCATGTGGGTTTACAACTATTTGACCTGTCCCATAAAAAATAAAAAATAAAAAATAAAAAACTTCAAATGTTGGAGAGAGAAACAAGAAAACAAGAAGGCAAATTTAAATATTGATGAAGGTGGATGACGAGGAACTTGAGTTAGGTCATACACATTGGCAGTAGGGCGGTCTGAACCGTTCTCAGACTGGGTTAAGGGGCTTGGTCCCAAACTTGACCAATCCAAGCCTGGACAACCCCGGTATGAACTGCCCTAATGCCACCTCCAGGTGGGCGAGGTGATTCTCGAAAAAAACCGTAGAAGGCTAACCTGATAACTGGCCTAACTTCCATCAAACTCTTTAACAGTAGACCCATTTTAGAGGTAAAAAAAAAGGCTCTTTGATTCATTATTAGGTAACAGGCAAAACTGTAGAATTGTCAATGCTGCGAGGCTGAAAAAAGGTCAAGATGTCATTTGTTAAGTTTCTAAAGATTTTATAAGAACACAAATATTTCCCAACATGCCATAAGGCATAAATTTGAGGAATCAAGATTCTTGAGCAGTACAACAAAATGTCAGGAATCATTGCTTTGGTACTATGGTATGATTCAATTTCAGTGCTCAGAGACCTAAACCAACTGTTCGGCCATCTCTTCGCCTGAGTCCAGCAGTATATTGCTTCTCCAAGTCCAGCTGAAGTTCCTTCTGCTTCTCGGCATGGAGGAGGCCACTGCCATCTTGATTGTCTGGTTTGTGGTCCACCTTTAGCTCGCCTTTCACACCCTACAATTGGCCATAGGCACCAAGCCAACCTCAGACTCTAAAACTGTGTTAGTAAGTGAACAAACGATTATTGAGAAAATGAACAGAAACATTCAGTACTAGGTTCCGTACATGATCATATTACTGTTAAGCTAAGAATTATCACACAAACAAATTTCTCAGACGGGAAAAGTGAAGGACAACAAAGAAGAATGAGACTCACCATGAGTTTATTGAATTTTTCTTGTCGTTCACGATCACCAAACAATGTAGTGTCCCACTGATGACTAGTCTGCAGAACAGGAGAGGGAATCCAACCAAAATATTTAGGACATAGCAAATGCAGGCTAAAAGATGGAGAAAAGTAATAATTAGATGTACCTCTTCTGCTGTCGTGTTCTTTTTGTTTCCCAATAGCAGCTTCTTCTTTTGATCAGTAGTCATAAAACCCACCCCAACAAGGTTCATATTTACTGCAACAAATAGTAATCCGTGGATGAGGTCAAATTTCAGGGATAAAGTAAAGCCAGCAAAAGCCTAATTTGCTTGCTCTTCCAAGTCAACATCAAAGAAACTGTTAATTTTGTGATAGTTGGAAGTGGCAAACTTTTTAGCTCTAAAGTATCTAGCTTTGCAAAATATAATACATCTAAAATTAGCACCCACTGATTAAAAGATATGAGATTCTGTTGTATCAATTAAAATACTACTTTTGCTTTTTTGCTTCCTATTGTTTAATATCTGAGCAATTGAATGTGCATAAAAAAAATGGACATGAAAAATGAAGTTTCAGAATAGCCGTTAGTTGTTATATGGTGATCATAAAGTAGAAAAAAAATAAAAATAGGAAATACAAAAAGCAAATCCATGTCAAAAGAAGAGGATACCTAGTTCAGCAGCTTCCATTGCAGCAACTTTTGCAGCATGTAGGTCATTAGTGGCGTCAGACTCATTGCTATGTACCTCTCCTGCAGTACCTCTATTGGCAACCTCCTGTTCTCGGTCTAAACTTGGTGCCTGCTTTTCATCAGCTTCAATTGCAGAAATCACGGAAACTAATCAGACTATAATATAAAAATTGCACAATGTACAGAATGATTGCGAAAGAGGTAATAAAAAAATTCAGAAAGGATAAAATCAGAAACAGTCCAGGTCCAACAAAATCAAACACTTTCATAGAAAGAAACTATTACCATCTTTATCATGATTAGTGGCCTTGCCTGAGCTATAATGATGCTTTGGTTTTTTATCTGGGAATTCTTCATTTTCACTTGAAAAGATATACTTCTTCTCAAATTTCTCCAATGGTGCTCTACTGTTTTGATCCTTGTCCTTGTAAGCTTCCAGTTCACCATACTTCTCTCCTTTAAAGCAATATTTATCATTGTCCCTCCCAAAAGAGGAATCATATCGACACCCCCTGGGCTCTTCATAAGAAGCTGTACGATGACTTCTATGATCTTCTGAAATCCTATAATAATCCCTTTTTTCATCTCGTTCATCTTTGTCCCGCCTTTGTCGATCTCTACCCATCTCTTCAGAAATTGTTTCAGCACGTCTCTTTCTAGGTCCAGCTCTTCTTAAAGATGAATCCCTATCATCATATTTATGCGATTCTTTGTCCTTGTCCTTGTCCTTGATTCTATGTCCTGAAGCATCATATCCAACACAAGAATATCTTTTGTCTTTCAGTGAGTACTTTCTTGATCTAGCATGTTCACTTTCTTGTCTCGTATGATCAGAACAACTGCTGCCTCTTGATTCTCGACCAGAGTGAGAAGAAAACCTTTTATAATTTCTATCACTATCATCTGCATAGTTGTCAGGTTTAACATGGTCATCTTGCTTAGAATTACTGTGGGAATTTCTGGATGACTGTCCCTCATATTGTCTATAGGAATCATTGTTTCTGCCATGATGACTCTGAGTAGAATCCCTACCCCTCTCCCTCCCATCATCTTTCCTTCTTGATTGATGTTCAGAATCTTTTGTAGTAACTTCCTTTGAAAAGAAAGGACTGTAGCAAGGGACGGCGCCACATGGAGACCAGGGGGCGGTGGCCCCTGGGATTTGAAAATTTTTTTTTATATAATTAATTTATTAATTATTATTATTAAAATTTTAAAAACAAACAAATCAAATGGGTCAACCACGTGAACCCACAGGTTGAGCAATGGTTTCGGGTTGACCCGAACGGGTCATGAGATCAATACTAGTTGACCCTAACCTACTTTTTAGGCATTGAATTAGGGTCGTGTTAACGGGTCAGGTGTGATTTTGCCACCTCTGCTCATGATACCTTTCCTTAATTGAATATGCAGGAACTTGTATTCAGGTCGATTGACAGTGTAGATTTATCCTGGTATATCCAATCTTATTCTCTCACAATGCTACTAGTTGTGTTAGTATAAATGTATATCTCAAGAAAAATAATCTCTATTTAGATGTTGATGATGGAAACAAACTAAAAAGACCAACCATCATCATTGATTAATGAATGATATTGAAAGGATTGAGATGTTTGTTTCAGGGATTTATCAAACAATTGGCTTAACTGGAGAAGTGTGCAACTTCTGTATCAGCTGCCCTTGTTGAAGGCATTATTAGTCCCAAATTGCTTTTAAATAAAAATATGAACCTTTTTGGGTCCCATTCGTTTTGATTCACTTGTTCTTGAAAAACATTGGGGTTCCCTGTTGCAAAACAATATGAA